TCAGAATCCTCCGAATTTCACTACCAATTGACAAATAGTTACAAAGATTTTAGATTATTTTGCGAGTTATGAAAAAATTCTTTATATAAATAATTTAAATGAGTAAAATATTGATAATATTGACAATTGAGGTTGTCATTCTGTAGTATTCTGTAGGGACTAGTTAGTGTCTCTACGATTGAAACGAAGAAACTGAAATGAGAATAAAATAACTAAGAAAATAAAGTTTTCGTAACACCTCATTTTTAACCAACTTCAAAAAAAGGAGGAGGTTGTCATTTCGACTGTATTTTTTTATGTGTTACCTCAGAACTTTTTTCTAGGTGAACCGATTTTGATGATTCTTTTTTTTTTATTTGAAAGCTGGTGCTTCTCATGTGGTCCCATATTTTGATCAAGAACTGATTAGTAGATTTTGAGTTATCTTTAATAATGCGTATTTAAAAGTGGTAGAGCCATGCTGCAGCTATATTATGGTTGTAGCACGAATGGGTCGGCTCGACCGGGGAAGGACCACGCTCTCACAGAAAACCAGCGTAAAATAGCAGCTTAACGCTGCTGTGTTTCGTATGGTGAGTGTAGAGAACCGGAGACCCTTTTTACTGGCAAAGAGGCATTCCATCTTAGTCCTCACGGGTGACAACGCATCTGCATCTTGAGTCTTTATTGAGGATAGATGTAGATGTCTATGGGTCACAGTAACCACTTACCATCAGGTGGACTGTGTGCTCGTTTGTCACCCTATCCTATAAAAAAAAATTGACTTCGACTACAATGATGATGTTCTCATTTTATTTATGTTGAAGTCGGTTGTACAATTTTTTTAATTTTACCACTGTTTAATATATAACTGCTTTAAATAGGGTTTGACGGCGAAAAAATTCGTAGAAGAAGTCTGCGGGGCGAATCGTTAGTAGAAATATAATTATCCTAAATTACTACTAACTGACAAAAAATAAGTTCCCATTTTAAGCTGATAAATGAGATCAAGATTAGCGGGAACATCACTAGTCGCTAGACACATCGCGGTCGAAACTTCTTGCTTTCGATTTTTTTCATGCTCCACTGTGTTCAACTGCTGCGTACATCATCGCGAACGAAATTAAAATTAATTCGCTGTTTCATTCTAACCTAAATTGTTTTATATTTTCGGTCCTTTTCTCACACGTAATTGAGCTTGTTTTGTTTTTTTGGGTGAATTGTAGATATCGATTTCATATATTGCAGTATTAAGGCAGATGTTTTTTGGAGGTTACGTGGCAGTAAATTGAAATAAATTGAAGTTGGTACATATTGAATTAGATTTGTTATTGTGTCTTTTGGTGCCACTGTAAGAAAAGTAAGTAAACCCCGCATTGATATTGTAAGAGGCGGCATAAGGTGGCCAAGGAAATGAAATGTAGATCTCGTGTACCAGAAAGCACGAGGTGTTGAACCAACTCGAATGTATAAAATACCCAGATCAATTACGAGGAACAATGACGACGGCGATTACAGTTATCACTTCATTATATAGAAAGAAAGAAAAAAAGAAAGAAAATATTTATTTCGCCACATAATGACAATGCCATATTCTACATAATATGTATTTCCCAAATACGTAAAATATAAAAAAACGACATTACCACGACCCATAGACATCTACATCTATCTTCGATTAAGAATCAAAATGCAGATGCATTATCACCCGTGAGGACTAAGATGGAATGCCTCATTTCCAGTAAAAAAAGGTCTTCGGTTCTCTACACTCACCATACGAAACACAGCAGCGTTAAGCTGCTATTTTGCGCTGGTATTCTGTGAGAGCGTGGTCCTTCCCCAGTCGAGCCGACCCATTCGTGCTACAACCATAATATAGCTGCAGCATGGCTCTACCACGTATAAAAAAACTAAGGTGAAATGTCTCGTTTCCATGAAAAGGGGTCTCCGATTCACTACACTCACTGTACGAAACACAGTAGCATTGAGCTGCTATTATACGTACAAAAAAGTTGATGGATGCAGGTGGCTCAGGACAGTGCTTTGTGGCATTCTGAATTGTGATTATCTTACGGCGAAGTGTACTGTTATAAAATGTTATGAATACAGGAGAAGAAATTGTCTACATTGAAAATAAATACGTTAGAGTGTAATATTGTTTGTTTCAAATATTTATTCTTACTGTTCTTATTTAACCTAGTTTTGTACCGGTTCTTTTGTACAGTTATTTTAATTAACAACGACATAATTAAAGTGAGACCGCTACGATTCAATGAACGAATCTTTGTAAAGAGTATTTGAAAACTTTAAGTAAATAGAATTTTTTCGCATTGTTTCTTAACCAAGAATAAACGAGTCTATGGGCCACATCATCCACTTACCATTAGATCGACTGAGTGCTCATTTTTCACCTTTTTATTAAAAGGAAAGTGTTGAGGTATGCTAGTTCCCCTTTTCGATACTTGATGGCGCTATATAAAAAGTAAATCGCGATGTTGACGTGTGAAAGCAATTAGACCCTAAGTTCACAAGGATTTAAATCATTTCATAGTTAATACTGATTGTTCCCCGCAACTTCACTCGCGCGTAAATTATTTTTCAAAAACATAATTAGCTTAGCTTAAGCTATTCCTAATAACATCAGCTATCTGCCGTCAAAATTGGTCCCGCCGTTTCGTAGATTAGACGGAACAAACAGACAGACAAATAAAAATTAAAAAAACATTTGGACTTTTTTGTAAGTACCGTATATAAATATTTTCATGTGCATTTAGTAAAAAGCTGTTATTTTGACATTACAAACAGACACTTCAATTTTATTAATTTGTATAGATTTTTGTACATCCAATAAATTAATGGTATGAATTATTTTGTATAGTAATTCCGTTCGATAAAAATAAATATAATACATAAAACATATTTAAATAAGGTCATAAAAATCAATGAATTAATAAGGTATGGGTTGTTCACCATACCGCGACCGTACTGTTTCAGATAGATATAGAAGTGTCTGTTTGTAATGTCGATATAACAGCTTTTTACTAAATGTATATGAAAGTATATACGGTACTTATAACAAAGACACAATTTTTAAAATTTTGTCTGTCTGTGTTTCTGTCTGTCTGTCTGTCTGTTTGTTTCGGCTAATCTCCGAAACGGCTGGACCGATTTTGACGGGACTTTCACTGGTAGAAGCTTATGTCATAAGGAGTAACTTAGGCTACTATTGTTTTAGAAAAAGAGTTAAGGTTCCGCGCGGGCGAAGTCGCGGGGTACAGCTAGTAGATAATATATCTTCATGTTAAATATATATCTTCATATTAATATATCATGTACATATACATACGTTGTGGAGTGTTTTATTAAGTCTTCTCATCGTAAGTACGTAAGTCATTTCAGCAAGTAGTAAGTAGTATAGTGCTAGTTCAAACAGAAAGACATTTGAGCAAGCTGGATTAGCGACCCGGGAATATATGCCGGAAACAATGGATGCTGATTGCTCAGAATCTTGCTATGTAGTAAAATTAGGGGAATACCTACTCTTATGTTGAATAATGATAATAATAATGGATTACTTTTGTATTTAAAGGGAATAGAAGAAGAAAATAGTAGAAACACAAGACGAGGGGCATTCTATGTTGTGTCCAAGGGTCCAATCAAGGGTCACGAATGAAGATGCACCATTACAAATATTTTATTTTATTAATAACAGAGTATGTGAAGCAGTGTTACCAACTCTATTTTTTTCCAAATCCGTAGATTGGTATAAAATGTTCGCTTGTCGGTTGTCGGCTAAGTTTACACTCATGATAAAAAAATGTTATTTTTTTGTTAAATTTTTAAAAATCTTATTATTCTGAAAGGACTGTAAAGTACAAAAAAAATCAATTAACATGGAAAACAAATTCCGTAGATTTCAACTCAGATTCCGTAGTTCCGTAGACGATGAAAAAATTCCGTAGATCTATGGAAAAATCCGTAGAGTTGGCAACGCTGATGTGAAGGAAAGGAAAAGGATCCAAAAAGGATATATTTTTTTTTAAATAAAGGTAAGTAAGACAAACACAGAGCGTAGTACACCTGATGGTGAGTGGATGCTGCGGCTAATGCCCCGTTATCAGTAAACAGATATATAGAATGACATGAAAATAATGATCCCATGCTTTACATGTTTACTAGTGGTCGTCCAGTGGTCGAAATCAGACTGTGATTCATTAAAATTTTAAATGTGTATATTAGGCAAACTGTATTTCGCTTTAAGTGCACATTAAAATATAAACCACGGTTAACTTATATTCGAAATATAAAATAAACGCATTTTTGCCTTGACATACACTCCACAGACTATTAAAAAAGGAACATTTGAAATCACACAAAACTCAGAGCTCATACTTTGTTGGCAACATTTTAAAATTCTTTGGCGGCTATCTACTCTGTGCGACTGTTTTACTATAGACTGTTATGTGTTTGACAACTGACACTGGCATGAACGTATACAAAAATTCTTTCATTAATTTACTTTATGTAATGATTTCTTATATTTACGCGAATACTACACGCGTAAAATTTGTTTCTTTCCATAATAAATGTATATATATAAGCGAAATACCAGACGAAATACAGACTGAATCATCACGAGATCTATAAAACTATAAACCCGATTGACTTGAAATTTAGTATAGTCATCATTTCGCAATGTAGACGTTCACTAAGAACAGATTTTACGATAGCCCCGTCAAAAATTTTTTTGATCTAAAACAAAAACCATGTCAAATCACAATCACCATGTGCGAATAACTCATTAAAAAGGGTACTTACAAATATACCTATATAGAAGACAGAAGAAAATTTGTGTAACTGGTGCCTCGGAAACGACTAACGATTTGGATGAAACTTTGTATTTAGATAATGTTTTATTTTCTAAGTTTATCTAGACAAGTAATCATCCCTATGTAATCATAAGAAAAAAAAAAAGTTCGGTCGGCCAGATACTAATTATAATGCGTGATGCTGTGACTTACCAGAGTCATCATCGTGTCCAGTGTTGAGCTGTAGCGCCAGGGATCGCAACTGCTTGAAGACCTGGACAGCTTCGCTTCTCAGCCAGCTGTCGTCCTCGTCCTCAGGCTCGGTCTCCATCTCGGCGTGCAGCGAGCGGGCCGTGTCCGATTGTTCAACCGGTTCGGGTGCCCCGATCCTCTCGGCCAACGTGTCATGGGACCTTTGCAGCCGCTCCAGTTCCTTGAGCGTATTCTGGTAGAGGTGTTCCTGAGGAAAAATCGGGTCTGTCATTTGAGTGTTACGGTGCTGGATTGGAGTACAAAAAGTTGACAAAACTCATATTAGGTGCGGTTTACAAAGGCAGTTTAAGGGCAAATTTGAACCCTCGGCTTATTGCCTTCGCAATTAGCACCCTTAGCCATCACCGTGACCGTTACCGTTACAGCTTTTTAATGTCCACTGCTGAACATTGATCAAGGTCTGACCAATAGTTTTTGAGTTATTCTTAATAATTTATATTGAAGTCGGTTGTACAAAATTTTTAATTTTAAATTATATATGTTTCCTATACCCCATTATGTGAGAAATGTTTGTGTATATTATATACCTCGAAAACAGCTCTGTCTATTTGCATGCAATTTAGTATTTAGATAATGTTTTACTTTACAAGTTTATTTATACATGTGTCCTCCTCGAGAAAATTATATTTTTTTCTAACGCTGAATGAGAATTGGAGCGAAGGTAGCATATAAAATCATTCATGGCATAGATCATAGAATATTTCCGCGTGCGTAATAATTTTTAATTGTATATAACAGGACTTGCAAACTAACGGCCCGCAGCTCGGTTACTTGATATAATGATATTCATATTTTCATAATATAAAGTATATACAATATTAAAAAAAATATTAAAAAAAGGTTTTAGTTTTTCTTTATTATAGTTTGTTTTTAATATTGTGTGTTACCTTTTATTTAGATTTAATTTTATATAATTTTTAAACAATTAGTTGCTATTTTCATAGTAAAATTTTATTTACCGTTACAGCCTATCTAAAGTCTACCGCTGAACAAAGACCTTCCCTGTATATCGTATTATAGGGACGATATTTGCCATAGTTGCGACGCGTGGCAGTCAGGTAGATAATCGCAGTTTTTTTTAAATGTTTGGTCGTTTTAAAAAGACGCTGCTGCCCATCTTCTGGTTTGTTTCCTTCTGTCACCTCTTATGCCACCCACGGTAGGATGGTACCCCATGGTAGTCGATATTCTTAAACCACCATTACACGGTGATTATTTTATTTACAGAACAAAATAATTACACCATAAACGGAAATTCAGCCGTGCACCCCGCATGGTATTAAAACGCAGGTTTCGTTGCCCCGCCGAATGGCTATACACAGCTTTGGGCGAGTACCAGCTCTGTTTAACCCAGCGCAGCGGTCAGGGAAACTTCCTAAATTGCAAGACATAATATGCATAACGGTTTTTAATTAAATAATGACGTTTATGATAAATCAATATTATAAGAAGAAAAGGTTAAAGTGTCATTTCTTCTGTTTGCTTTACTAAATACCCAAATAAAATATAGGTACACTATAACAAATAAAATATTTTGACGGCTCCGTGGCGCAGTGGCTTAGCAATGAGTTGTTGCGCTGGGGCCGCGGGTTCGGATCCCGCACGGAACACGTATTTGTATGGCCTACAAATAATTGTTCCTGGTCTGGATGTTTGTCCTCGTGCAACCAATGTTTGTACACAGCCTCCACGATACAGGAGAAAATCATAGTGTAGGGGTAACGTTTTTTTTTTAAATAAAAATTAAAAAAAAGTAAGTATTTCGTTTGACCACCCCAGGCTTAGTACCGTTAGAGTACCTTCAAAGTATTATACATTTGAATAAAAACCCTATAAAATTATGTTAACCAGCACGTTGGCGCTTCTCAATGGGATATTTACTAGAGAGATTACGACCGGCTTAATTAGAATCCATTGTTCTGTTAAGTACGGATGTTGCTCAAAATGGCGGTGAAAGGGAAGCCTATATTTCAGAACTTTTAAACAGTTTATTATCGTTGTTATAACGTGAAAAGATGAAAATTTAACTTTTAATAAATAGTAAAAACCGATTTCAAAGAACGAAAATGACTAAAATAATTTCCATATCACGGCTTCACTAGTGCGTGCGAAGACAATGTATGAAAGAATTACGAACCCCGATTTCAGAAGCTGATACGTGGAAATCATTTATTCTTATATTTTACTAGCTTTTCCCCGCGACTTCGCCCGTGTTTAATTTAGGGTTTTAATTTTTTTGAGCGCAACTCTGATTCTTTTTCTAAAATAAAAGTAGCCTAAGTTACTCCTTATAACATCAGCTATCTGCCGTGAAAGTTCCGTCAAAATTGGTTCAGCCATTTCGGAGATTAACCGAAACATACAGATAGACAGACAGACAACAAAAAAAATAAAATTGTGTTTTTGTTATAACGACCATATATGTACTATCACATACATTTAGTAAAAAGCTGTTATTTTGACATTACAAACAGATATTTCAATTTTATTTATTTGTATATATTAAAGGTTATATTTTTGAGCTTTTGAGTGAACTAAAAAATATCACAAGCTCTATGTAACAACTAGTAACAAATATAATGTCTTTTAAATAGCTCCATTTTACCCTTTTTCCTATACTTAAGGGTGGAACTTTTCCTCCAAATTTTATTATGGCATCGCCCTTGAGATACTACACTCGTTAACAACAAAAAAAATAATTAAAATCGGATCACAATTGACGAAAATATCGCAATACATGCATACAAAAATAAATAACATGGTCAAAATAAGAACCTACTCCTTATTTAGAGTGGGCTAAGAAAGCAAGGGCATTTTTTATAAATGACCGCGAAATAAGAGCCTTAGGTCTATGTAGAAAGCATTCTGCGAAACATAAGAAACCTTTCGCATGCATGTAAGCCTCCGTCACTCGTCGCGACTAAAGCCCTTGCGTACTTTAAGTCACTGCTCACTGTAGTTATAAGTCGCGGCACGTAAGTCTAGAACGAAACTTGGAGGGGGACGCGCACGAATTGAATTGTACGAATGCGACTGGAGAGCCAATCAGTGCGTGCGAATGATATGCACGAGCCAATCAGCGCGACTTCACCGCTCACGGCTAGACTTTCGTGCCGCTATTTATATCTCCTATCCATCTACTATAGCCTATAAAAGCGCACTGCTGAACAAAGGTCAATACCACAGATTGGCTTATAGGGGGATTATGTCATAGTTGCCACACATGGCGGGCGGCAGCAATCGAAGGTTTCATTTCGACGAGGTTTATTTCCCTCTGGCATCTCTTAAGACACCCACGTAACGATATAAATTATCCAGATTGACATTATTTATTCAATGAAAATGATAATGTATACCGTATTAGCAACAAGAAAAAAATTAAAAAGGTTTATTATATAGCACTACTCCCCACGGTAACCCCAATGCCAAGAACGCTGGCTGCGATTCTTCTTTGAATAGCTATATTTGGCCGGTTTTCAGGAACAGTTTTAAGTTTAATATCTCAAGGAAAGGCCCATTTAATTATTTTTTACTTATAATAAGCTAGTTTTTGACCGCAATCTCACCTGGCGGCAAGTGGAAATGATGTTAAATCGCACTACCTTAGAGTAACTAAAGCCTATTCACACTTGCCTTGATGACACCCAGATAGTAATCGGATGGAAAGACAGACGACGGCAAATAATTCCACTCCCTTGCTTTACGCTAATGCGTAACCAAACCAATGGTTTGCTTTGTATTTCCTAATCGAAATATCGTATTGTTCAAATGCACGGAATATCGACAACAAAAAGGGATGGGATACCGACCTCCTGGATGTCCGATAGTGGAAAGGAGAGATAGGAATTTAGGTATTTAAGATTTAAGCACACTCTCCGAAATGCATCTTATATAATACTGAGAGGCTGGCTACTCTGCACCTGTGTTCGAGGCTGTCAAGATTAGTTTCAAGCAAATCAAGGTCAAACTGCGTGTTATCACCAACGCTGTTTCTTCCACATATCAATAATATGTTGCAAACCGGTAATATTCATTGCTATGCGGACAACAGCACTGGTGATGCTTTATACACCAGCCGTGTCAATATTTCTCGGGAAACCGTCGCCGAGTACCGGAATAAATTTGTGTTTGAAATCCAGTCTTTGCTGAACAAAGTCTCGGATTGGGGGCGACTAAATCTAATCCAGTTTGATTCTCAGAAGACACAAGTCTCCGCTAAAAAGAACCCCTTTGTCGTATCTCTTCAGTTTGAAGGCACTCCCCTTGTTGCCTCAGCCAGTATCGGAATTCTCGGCATCGACATATCGAGTGACGTGCAGTTTCGTGGTCACTTGAAAGAAAAGGCCAAATTGGCCTCTAAAATGTTTGACGTACTCAGCAGAGCAGGACAGTATTTCATGCCGGCACACCGCCTGCAACTTTACAAAGCGCAGGTTAGGCTTCAAATGGAATACTGTTCCCATCTCTGAGCTGGGCCTCCCCAGTGGCAGCCCTTCCACTTGATTGCATCCAGCGCAGAGCGGCTCGAATCGTCAACGACCGAGCCCTTTCCGATCGGCTCGATTCACTGGCGCTGTGAAGAGATCTTTGCATTTTCTTTCGCATTTACCACGGGGAAAGCTCTGAGGAATTTCGGATTAATCCCAGCCGTTGGGATTAATCCAAACAAACGTGCAGCAAAAGTACCGATACTATCCACATCATCTGGATGATTGGCGGTCCACCACTGTACGTTTTACTAGGAGTTTTCTTCTCCGTACGACCTCTCTGTGGAATAGCTTACCACCAGCGATTTTTTTCCGGACCGATACGAATTAGGGACCTTCAAGAAAAGAGCTTACTCCTTTCTAAAAGGCCGGCAACGCATCTGCAATTCCCCTGGTATTGCAGTTGTTCATGGGCGGCGGTAGTCGCTTACCATCAGGTGAGCGGTATGCTCGTTTGCCCCCTCTCCTATATAAAAAAAACTAAGCCGCAGCCCTCTCCACTGAGTTGGCACCCACCTCTATATAACATCAGGTACAGATTACTTACACAACTTGATATAAATATAGGTAATCGTTTTTCCCTAACCAATTATTTGATCACGTTCAAAAGTTCTAAGCTAGTACATACCTGTTCTTTTAACTGCCTCTCAAGCGCTGCGATCCTGTCGTTGGCTTCATCCAACTGCTGCGACAAGTTTTCCTTATCACGGAGGGATGTCGTCAGTCTCCTCTCCAGGTCCACCTTTTTATCGCTCACAAGCGCCAACTCCTCTTTTAGCGACTTGAGGCTTTGTACATGGTCCTAAACACAAGACAAAAAAGTTACCCGTTACAGCTTATAAAAGTCTACATCTGAACATAAGCCTCTCCGATAGATTGGCTCATAGGAGATATTTGCTATAGTTGCCACGTTTAGCAAGCGGGTTGGTAACCACTTTTTTGTTAGTCGTTATTAGGAAGACGCTGCTGCCCATGTCATTTCCCTCTGTCTCCTCTTATGACATCCACGGGATGATATAGGGTAGTGGATATTCTTACACCGCTCATATAACACAAAAGTTAGGAACGAAAAAAAAATTTGTGATATAACGAGCAAGCAGTCTCAATCCTTCTCCTTCTTCTTTATCCACTATATAGAGTTCCCTGCTGGACATATGCCTCTTTCGTTGTAGATATTTGCCTTAATCGTCACGCTTAGCATACAGTTTTTACGTGGTAGAGCCATGCTGCAGCTATATTAGTAGTATAGTTGTAGCACGAATGGGTCGGCTAGACCGGGGAAGGACCACGCTCTCACAGAAAACCAGCGTAAAATAGCAGCTTAACGCTGCTGTGTTTTGTATGGTGAGCGTAGAGAACCGGAGACCCTTTTTACTGGCAAAGAGGCATTCCATCTTAGTCCTCACGGGTGACAACGCATCTGCATCTTGAGTCTTTATTGAGGATAGATGTAGATGTCTATGGGTCGCAGTAACCACTTACCATCAGGTGGACTGTGTGCTCGTTTGTCACCCAATCCTATAAAAAAAACAGTTTGACGATCGCAGTACCACACATCTCGCACCTTTGATGTGTCTACCTGACGCCGGTCTGCGTCCTTAAGCAACTTGACTTTCTACAATCGTGAACGTTAATAGAAAACTATAAAAATGCAAAAGAATGACATATTTGACTCAACGCTGATTCAATGAGGGTTAATAATCTTCCACTCACCAGATGGCGCTAGTTGTGACTGAGGTAAAGTTTTCCGCTACACAATGTCACTTAATTGAGAAATTAAGTTTCTAAATAATAGTTTATCATTATCTTATCCAGTATATATTAATACACAACACAATGTGTAAGAGGTTTGACTTTTAATGTTTTTACATATATTAATAGATTGGTTTATTCATTTCTAATCTAATGAATATAAAATGTAACTAATAATTTGGAACGAAACATTAAAGTTTACATTTTCCTAAGAAATTATCGTCACCGCTATGAAATCTGTCAAATATTTTACCTCATTGTAAAGTGGCGCCGCCCTGGTGGCTCAGCAATGTATTTGTATAGCCTACAAATAATTGTTCTGTGCCTGCATGTTTGTTCTTGTGAAATTTATGTATGTAAACTGCCGCCACGATACAGAAGGAAATCCAAGTGTGGAGGTAACGTTTAAAAAATAACAATAGCTTATCTAATTCATCTAGCGGAAACAATAAGATTTTTCTGACATCTTCCGTAGAAAGGAGGTGATGGAAGGACGCCACCAGCACACGGTATACCTACCTGATAAATGACTAATGATGCCCATTAACAACTGAATTCACCTTTATGAAAATAAGGCCATAGATATGTTGTCACCCTGAGGACTAAGATGGACTGCTCAGTCTGTAATCATGCTGACTCTCAGGTCAATAACACCGTAACAGTGCACGTACCGCCGTAACACAGCGGTACGTGCACTGTAGTTGGACGACAGAGATAGGTAAAAGAATGGTACCACCATAGACTAGTTAAATATACTCATCAAGAAGAAAAACTAACAAAGAGGCATTTTAGACGATGGTCTAGAGTAGGCGTGTTAAACTTGAATGACTAGAGGGCCATTTACAAAATTAAGCAAAATAAATTTACGCAAAAAGAAATGTGAAAAATAATCTCAATCAAGCTACTAAATAAGTGATTTTATTTAAATAAAAAAAAAATTTAAAATTTTACATGGAACTTTTCATTAGGATTTAGAGACCTGACTTCTTTTACTGTTGACAGTCTGATTGATGTTGGACGTCATATTCGTAGGTAGGTTATTTTAAGAATGATTTGGACTGGACTTTAGATTTGTACTCGTACCAGGCCGCTTGATAATGATAATTTAAAAATAAAAATTTTGAGTTTTGTAAATTTGAATTACCTGAAGACTGGTCTTCCTCATTGAGCACTGGTCTTTCAGGCTCTCCAGCTGTGCCAGCAGCTGGGCTTCTGTGATTGAGGACTCCTTGAGCTGTGCGGTCAGCCTTGAGTTTTGCGCTGTCAGCTCCGCTATCAGACTGGCTTTTTCTTCCTCACGCTATTAAAAAAATATATATAAAAGCAACAACAAAATTAGGGTCTATTTGTAAAATCTAAATTGGAAATATGTTAGAACTGTCTTCTGCTATTAAAAGTCTTTTCTACCGACTTCAAAAAGGAGACGGTACTCAATTCGACTATATGTTTTTTTTATGTGTGTTACCTCATAACTTTTACTGCGTGAACCGAATCCGATGATTCTTTTTTATTTGAAAGCTGGTGCTTCTCATATGCTCCCATATGATCCTAAAATTTGATCAAGGTCTGACCAATAGTTTTTGAGTTATTCTTAACAATTTATATTGAAGTCGGTTGCACAAAATTTTTAATTTCAAATTACTTATATTTTTTTTAAACTGAATTGACAAACGAACTCACAATGCACCCATTTGTAAGTGTCTACTACAGTATATGGAGCTAGCTTCAAACAAAGAGGGCTACAGATGCGTGACACCACTGAGGATTAAAATGGAATGACAGACAGTATGCAATTATACTGGCTCTCTTATACCCTGCCAACTGGAACACACGAGTTTAAGCACTGCTGTTTGGCGGCAAAAATAGATAAGAAAGTGGCAGCTGACAGAGTACACCTGAGCAGAAATGGAGTCCAAGCACCTAGTACAAGATTTATATTTTGTCGAGTCCTTTTGGAAGCTACAAGATAATTTTCTTTCCAATTTGTTTTGTTCCCCATTATGCTTTAATTCATCAAGGCGAAAAATAACAGGCAAAGCTCTGTTTATCATCCTAGACTTTATAAACATCAGGTCAGAACTTAATTAATCCCACAAAATAATATTACACGTTATTTTATATTTATGAATAATAAGGAAATATGCAATATTTTGCTAACGAGCACATAGTCCACCCGATGGCAAGTAGCTGCTGTGACGCATAGACATCTACATTTATCGTCAATAAAGAATCAAAATGCAGATGCGTCGTCACCCGTGAGGTCTAAGATGGAATGCCTCTTTTCCAGTAAAATGGGTCTCCGGTTCTCTACACTCACCATACGAAACACAGCAGTGTCAAGCTGCCATTTTACGCTGGTATTCTGTGAGAACGTGGTCCTTCCCCGGTCGAGCCGACCCATTCGTGCTACAACTATACTACTAATATATCTCCAGCATGGCTCTGCCACGTATAAAACTGCTTCATTTAATTTCTTGCTTTCTTAGGAATTTCGTGAGAAGTAATTACGTATGTTAAATACAATTTGGCTAAAAAAAAAGAAAATTTGGAAATCTTACGAAATGCTGACCTTTCTTCCCGCGTAGATTTTGACGGCCCAAGATTTATTACCGTTACTTAATTAATCGAATGGACTCATAAATCTGGACCACACCATAAATAAAATCTTATCATGATTAAATTAGGGACTCCTATTGCTTGGCCAGCGACTCGCAAATCTCTTGCATTTTGACAGAATATTAATCAGAAACTTTTAATTGCACATGCTAACTCCCATGGTAATACCATTTGTTTCATTAGTCTTCATTACGGTCCATCAAAGTCTACTGTTAAACAATATATTGCCTCATATGGAGGATATTTACCATAGTTGTCAAGCTTGGCAAGAAAACGCTGAAGATGAGGCCCACCTCCCGGTATTTCCCTATGTCTCCTCTTGACACCCACTGGGCGACATGGGGTAGTGGATATTCTTACGCCGCCACTACACGGTTTTAAGTTATTTAAAATGATTTTTTCCAGACTTCGATAGGGCATAAGCTTGATTAGATAAAAAATAGAAAATTATTTTATTGATATCTGTGATGGTGACGTAAGTAGACGCTTAATAATTCCGTCAACAATTTTTTCGCCATTGTGTTTTAGTCATACGAAAAAAGTTCCCTAAAAACCTAAAATGTAATTCATCTTTTATCTGGGATTTCTGAATAGTACGATCATCCAAGTTTACTTTTTATAATGTGTAATGTGTAAATAAAAGAATCAATAATCTTATTATTTCAATTAGAATGATAATTTTACGCAGCGTGAAAATTCAAAAACGAACAGAGTTCGTTTTGGCCAATAAAAAATTGATTTTAGATGCTTGACCAAACTAAAAGACATTGGTCCAAAACTCTAAACACTGAGCGTGGTGAATCGCCATAATGGGTGCAAAAACAGTGTACTAATAGTTGCCACGCCAATTTATTATTTCTACAAAATAATATAGGGTTGAAATAGTAAAGTCAATATTTACGAAACTCTTTTCCCTGCTGGTTTCGGAAGGTCGTAAGACGCCGTGACGTTGACGTTGCGACACTTTCAAATAAGATGTAAGTTACGAGAAAAGGGAGGTTTCGATTCTATTCGATAAAAACTTTTATTCTGCAAATAAAATGAATCTGATATACTCGCGATAACATATAATTTAAAAAAGTTATTTATTTTAGGAAATACTTGTTAAAAATAAAAATTATTAAGAATAACATTATGCAAGCTTTTTTTTTTTAAATTAGCCATGTAAGCTGTAAACACGGTTAATTTAAAAAATAATAGTAAAAAAAATTAATGTAACTATTTAGACGTCATTGAGATTGTGATATTCCTTAAAATATTTATTTTTTTATAAAAAGTAAAAGGCGCCTTATAATAACTAAGAACAACACAGGTGAACTAAGACGTAGTTCCGAATGTGAAATAATTTTCTACCGACTACAAATCTGCGAATCTATTAGCAAGACAGAAATATTAGTTCTCATTTAGTTTATTTCACTCCTAGTGGTGTATTCTCTTTGTATCAAATTCGAAAACCAAATATTTGTTACTGCAAGAATGTTGGCTCCGGTTGGGATTCTTTGCTATGGCAATATTTGGGGAAGGCCTATGTTCAGCAGTGGACTTATATAGGCTGTTATGAAAGAATAAAAAAATCCAACTTAGGACTAACGACTTTACAAACGAACCAAACACGTTATGTTACACGAATTTCGTCAACGTCATATTTAAAAACGCTAGTCTCTTATGACTGATGTTACAAGTAGTTACAAAGGATAAATTACAGGAGAGGTAAATTATAAAGGATATGAGAAATACGACGTATGGTAGCATCCGATATGCAGGTTGGTGACGGTAAGACCGCAAGGCTACCGACGGCTTCCGGCAGGGTTATAATGACCAACCACCTCACGAGCTACTAATACTAAATTTAACTTTAAGCTTACATGATACTTGAGACGACGGTTTGTACTAAGGAAATATGTTCTAATATATGAAATACTAGCTGTTCCCCGTGACTTCGCCCGCGTACGTTTTATTTTATTCAATTTAGCGTTTTTTTTTTTTTGCGCGGAACCGTAACTCTTTTTCTTAATTAAAAGTAGCCTAAGTTACTCCTCATTAACATCAGCTATCTACCAGTGAAAGTCCCTTCAAAATCGGTCCAGCCGTTTCGGAGATTAGCTGGAACAAACAGACAGACAGACGGACAGACAAAAATTAAAAAAAATATATGTTTTTGTTATATGTACCTTATATAATTTCATATGCATTTAGTAATAAGCTGTTATTTCGACATTACAAACAGACACTTCAATTTTATTTATTTGTAAGTCATTGATCATTTATTCGTGACTAGCTTTTCCCCGCGACTTCGCCCGCGTGTTATTTGGGGTTTTAATTTTATTGTGCGCAACCCTAATTATTTTTCTAAATAAAAGTAACCTAAGTTACTCCTTGTAACATCAGGTATATGCCAGTGAAAATCCCGTCAAAATTAGTCCAGCCGTTTCGGAGATTAGCCGGAACAAACAGACAATAAATAATTTTGACATTACAAACAGACACTTCAATTTTATTTATTTGTATATATATAGATAGCCTATCAAACTTCATAAGGCTAAACCTTCATCCAACATAGATTGTTGCATAGAGGGGATATTTAACCGCATTTTACCGCAAGAAGATGCCGCCGACCATCCCCTGTTTCATATCCCACTGTCAACTTTTGCGACACCCACGACACCACGACATATTTAAAAAAAGAATACTGGTGACGTTAAGAACTAAGAATATTACTAATACTTGCGTTATCGTACTGTACTCTAAGTAAGTTTGAAAATGGTTGTGTTAAGAGTGGTTTACCACAGTAGTCGAATGGCGGATTCGAACCTACGACTTTCCAAGTTTATAGACCGAACTTTAACCGTTAGTCTACTGTACACTGCACGTTATATGAACGTGTTTATGTCATATTATGTATTTATAATATTTTTTAATTCCATTTTTGTACAAAAGCCGCGGTAGTTCAGGGGCAAAGGGCTTTGTTTCAATGACGTGAGCAACTTTGGTACGCGGTAGAGCCACCCTGCAGCTGTACTATGACTGCGGCACAAATCGGTAGGCTCGATCAGAGAAAGACTGCGCTCGCACACAATACTAGCATTAAATGACAGTGTAATGCTGCTGTGTTTCTAAATTTATGAAAAACGACCCAATGTCCTACATGGTAAGACCTATTTTTAGCTAGCAATCAGTCTGTGTAGATACGAACCTTCTACCAATTTCTGCTGAGAAAAATACCAGTGCGTGGACTGCTGTGTTCCGGTCTGAAGGGTATGGTGTTCCTATGTAATTACAGGCTGTGAGGCATTCGAAGGGTATAATACTCCTATATAATTAGAGGCTGTGAAGCATTCTATTCTGTCCTCAGAGATGTTAACGTATCCATAACCTTCTTTGTTTGAAGTAGCCGCCATGGACTGCGGTAACCAACAGTTGGAACTTAAGGTAGTTTGTACAATTTTATAAAAATAACCGTAGTTTGGGGGGAATACCAAAGTTGATTTCTGCATGATATTTATGTATATTCTCTTGGATTGAAATTTTATGAACTTTTATACTTAAAATTCTAATACTTTTAGAGAGCAATTCGTGTTACGGGTATATGTAATTAAAAACGGCACCATTTGGATGATGTTTTGTATTTAGATAATGTTTACTTGCTAATAAAGGATATATTCAACCTAGACGTAATTATAATTC